TTGCACTTATTTCATTTTTTTCTCTCTCTTATCATACTTAATATATATTTTGTTATTAGTAAAACTGATATTTTTGTCACGCACAAAAATATACTACATTAAAAATTAAGAGATATATCTATTTTATATATAACAAAGTTTTTATACTTTTTGTTTTTATCTTTTTGTAAAATAATTATTTTAATGTAAAAATTTATAAATGCATATTATAATCGCAAAATAATATACATATTTGTACTAAAAACATATTAAAATAATAAATTATTATCCGTCTTCTCTTCAACAATTTTTTTTCGGTGACACTAATCTCGAGAATAAGGTGTCAGCGATTTTTTCTTAGAAACTTTTTGACCTTCTTACAATTACAAGACTTTATCATCACTTGTACATACTTCAGTTAGCCGATACACGCGATATTTCACATTGCGATGTGATCTAGTTGCCACTTATATTTTACTTAATTTGCAATATTCTTGTTGATTATATATTATTTTTTAAATTATATTATTATGATTATATATTATTTTCTTATAAGATAATGTTTAAAAGAGAATGCTTGAACAAGTTTATGCAATTTAAACAATTAATAATGATTTTCTCCAGCTGCTGTCAAAGCGGTACTTTACGTCGCACGTGTACTATAGTACATCGCGACATGTAGGCGCGTTGTAGGCAGGACAACGAGAAACCATTTCTAAACATAGTCGGGACAAACCCAGCATTCCCGGCATCCGTCGTCGGCTAAGGGAAAAAAGGAAGTCAATGCAAATCGAGAAACGCGAGTGCGCTTAGGGATGTACGAAGCTGGAACTACCGCGAAGAAACGCGCAGTTTTGTCTATACTTAGCTTAGGTTACTAATCCATAGGGACTCCATCGCGTGTCAAATATTTCTTTCGCGTACTGCGTAAAATTCTCCGTGACGGACGGGAGAGAAAATCGGTACAGAAGTTATTCGAATTATACATAAAAATTATTAACTTACGCGTGTGTGTGATAATCAATCATGTTTACTTGTACGTTTTGCTTGTTTTTTTGTATTTGCGTTTCTAATTAACAAACATTTGTTTTTACGATGCAAAAAAGTTGCAGCTTGAAAAACTAAACATCTCTCGATGCGAATATATTAATAAATCCTCGGAGATCCGGAGATAAATCCAAAAGTATTTGCGACACACGCAGAATTCTTGTCAGATAAAGCTGACCTTGAATTTTTTTTCATTCTTCTTTTTTTATGCAAATGTAACGTATCTCGCGACATGCCGATACACCGTGTTGCCGCGGACAATCGTGAAAAGTATCTATAGCTTTTCACACGACGATCGTGATTCATTTCCATTTAGATACATTCCCATTGTGCGACAGATATAAGCTGCATGTCAGAACGTCACACGCTAAAGCAGGAAACCACAGGACACTGGATACATCCGCGATGTTCACTGTCTTTTCTATAAAAATATGAAAGCCTTATGTGTGTGTGTGTGTGTGTGTGTGTGTGCTCGTACACCATATTCACACACATATAATTGTAACCGATCGCGGTACATTGGTTCGCCGATTAAAACCGCCAAAATTTACGCTAGAACAATTGTCCTTCAGTGTTTGCAGAAACGCTCGATGGCGGATTAATCTACGCGCATCACTTTTGCCAACTCGACGGTGAAATATCATTCCGTGTTTATTCGAGCGTTATTTCAACGTCGCGGCACAGTTTTTTCCATTCGCTGACATCCCCACAGTCGAATTTGTCGTTCCGCGGGCGTTTTTACGCGCGATTTCTTTCAACGAAATTGAGATCTCGAGCGCGCGGAGTTTTTGACTTTCGCAGGGTAATTCTCTCTCATCAAACGGAAACACGCGCGCGATGTTATGTGATCCGCAATTCCAGACTCGTAGGCAATTAGTCTGGCAGCAGTCTGTTTTAATTAACGGGCAGTCCGCCTTCAACTCTGCAATTGCGAATCGTATTTATCTTCGATATATTTTGCTGCCGTAATGAAATAAATGATTCACCTACGAAGAACGGATATATTCCGCGAGCGTTCAACTGAAGAAAAATCAAGTCTACAAGCTGAAATAAAATAAAATAAAAATAATGTAAAAAATGTGCACGGAATTTTTTCGTAAATTAAATATATTTTGTGGATTTTCTTATACATTTATCATCTCTCTATGTGTTCTTGTTTCTCTTTGTAATTTTAAATCCGCATCTAAAGAATCATCGAGCTATCGATTCAATCTGCACAGATCGATAGGGTTGCATTTTAATTAAGAATATATGGTCTCACTAATTGGATAAGTAATTGCGTTGACAAAATAATTGTAGAATAACAACGTTATTCATTTTGAACAATCGAATTTGTTAGCAACTCGGTAACCGATTCGATAAAATACATAAAGCTCATTTGTTGTAATTACTAGCTATTTCCGTAATAAGCAAATAGAGAGAGAAAATGTGAAGTACTTGATTTTATATGTACATATATACATATATTTTTTTGAGGGGGCGCTTGTCGATGTATCTCAGAGATACGTATTGCAGCCAAAACCGGTAAGAGTCAGCGAGCATTAAGTAACGAGAGCCGTGAAGAACGGCTTCTCTTGTATCAGCCTTGGGGCTTCCGATCAGTTTGTCGCACCGAGTACACTTAATGCTTTCCGCTGAGAACATGACAGTTTTTTAAGTTTATTTACGATGTGCTGTTACACACAGGGCACTGTGTGATTTGTGTCAAATTTTGTAAATTATGATTTATGAAGTTTTGACCTAAAGAAATTCGCGCTCGAGTGGCTAAACCACATGTATAGCATTGCAGAGTTCAACGTGTTATGCGAGTAATTCTGTATAATTCATTAGTATATTAATGAGGTCCGCTTTGTAGGTAATTAAACTCTATTCGCGCAACTCGCGCGTTGTATATTTGCGGTTTTAAGCGTAATTTCGAGAGAATACGACATATTTTACCAGTAGCGTTTAATAATAGCGTCCACGTTTACCGGAAAGTATGCAACACGTATTTACTTATTGCGGGATAAAATTGGAGACTGGACGAGAAAGCTGCGCGGAATTCGTTGCGCAGACTAATGCCTCACTTGCTCGTTTATGCTCTTCTGTTTCTTTTCTTTTTTTTTGTTAATTTTCTTCAACTCTTCTCTATCTTCGGCATTGATTGATACTACGACGTTGCCAAGCAACGTCTCGAACCAGACTTGTCTGTGTACATATATGCCGGTATAGAATTACGCGAGAGCCGTTCGAACTCCCTTGGCAACGAGTTACGTTCCATTGTGCTGCATCATCAATCCTTTAATTCGACGTTGGATAGAATTTTTCAACACTTCCTCTTGCGGAAAGAGCTCTAAGAAAAGCTTAACATTTTGATCGCGAAATTTTATTTTTAAACGTTAAGATTAAATGTCTGTGTATTAAAAATTACTGCAAAGAAAGTTAACTTTCTTAAAGAAAAGATGATATTAATATAATTACGACATATATACAAGTTCTTTTTAATTGTACACACACATTTTAATAAAATTATATAATATACATACATAAATATGTTACGTAAGACGTTTTATTTCAAACTCTTGTGGTTTCAATTTGTTTTTCGTTGCTTTTCTTGTGGTTTACAATAAGTGGAGAGATGTCGAGTGAGTATCGAGAATTTTTTGCACGATGTCAAAAGTGGAGTATCTCCACGTTAAAGCTGGCAGTGGAGGGTGGGTACAGGATGTGCGGCGATCGATTACCAGCTGGCGAGGAACCACGTGACGGGGTGCGGTGTTGATGACGTCATAGAACGACTACCTCTCATGACGAATTGCGACTACTGATTCACTCGTTCTCATTATTGTTTTCTTAATTAATATTATAATAAAAATAATACTCTAATCTTTTTTCCATATGCAATATATATACGTATATATATGCAATGGTTTTGTTATAAAAAAAATAAAATTTTATCTATTTTTTAAAAAGTAAAGAAAGACGCGAACTGTTAATATTTTAAAATTAACATGTAAATAATTACAGTTCTCATTAGTTATCATTTATTTTTATTATAATATAATGTTTTTCTTTTTATATCGCGCGTGTTAGAAAAATACTTAAATTGAAGTTGTATGAAAGTAATCTTTTTTAATTTTAGAGGTAATATGAAATTGTTCAATTCACACAAATGTTTGTAAAAAAACTTGACAAATATTACAAATTATATAATATTTTGTAAATAAAAAGTTATACTTTTTATTTATTAACAAAAGTAAAATATGGTGCTGTTACAACGAAATATTTTAATTTTCTTTCCTCAATCAATCATTCTATAACTGTACCTGACAGGCTCTACCATCTTAACCTTAACCTTACATCACACGGGAGTTGAATTACGCCATGAAGCCAAACCACTGCTGTTCTGTGTGCATTTATATGCAGTTATGACCCACTATTCTACTCATCTGTAAACGTCTTATGCTCGATAACTATGTTGGAATTAATCGTAACCAATTTTATAAAAAGACTTTACTCGGACATTTAATTGTAATTGTTTTAAGAATATTTTAAGAGTCTTCTTAAAACTATTATAATAAATATTTTCAGATATGTGAAACTAAAAAAGAACAAGTTTAATTTTAAAAAATATTCAAAAAGATGTTCACATAAAGAACTTATATTTTTTATTTATCCCATTTTTGAAATATGCATGTCCAAACTCTAGAGCACAACTCCAGATATTTCTTGAGCTCAAAGTACATATATTGTGACGATCTAAAACAAGAACAACCTACTTTCTATTCAAAATATCAGGGCCAGTCTCGGAAAAGCTTGGCCAAGTTCATGAGAGAGCATACTGTTGGAATACTTAAAGTTGTATTCGATCTTGAGATACAGTGATTTATATGCAGATTCCGTTCTCGAAGTTTTCTGATATCGTGGCGCTTTGACACGTATGAACAAGATTTAAAAGTTTGTACTTAGCAGTCGTCGCTTTTCGACTGTTGTAGGTTTCCTATCATGGGACAAGGACAGTTGTCACGTAGATTTGGAGAAAGAATTGTTGGCCTTAGTAGCACAAGCCCCCGAAGGCGAAGAAGCCAGAAATGGTGATTATAATTTATAACAAACATTTTACTCTGTTTATGATATTTTTACGATATAATTATAATTTATTATCATAGCTTATCTTAAGTAATTAAAAAATAATGATTTGGGATTTTTATAGGCGAAAGATTGATCCAATATGCCACCGAGAATCTCGTAACGGAAGTTCTCATTCATCCGCAGACGAATACGTTGTTACAATGTATTCGCAATCTTCTTGCAAGCTTCACGAAACATCGGCACATCATACACGCTGGATACACATTCGGTGGCAATGGTTCCTGGATATTGCAGGTGCGATAATACATTACTGCATGTTATTTATTTGAATATAAATCTACAAGAAAATCTACGTTAACGCAAAATTCTAGAAAATTTTACGAAAATTAGACAATTAATAAAATTCAAATAAAAATAATAACGCAATTAATATTGTTATTCAGGATGGAACCTTCAGTCTCGCAGACTTTCTGGATGCATTCAGTGAACATGAAGTGCAAAGAGTCCTTCGTGCCTATGAGAATAGCGTAACCGTAGATATACATTGCGCGGGTGTTGGTGATTGGACAACAAATCGTTTGTCAAAAGAGATTTGTTGCAGGTGCGTATTATTGTGTTTCTCTACGGAAGCATTACAAATTTATCATACAGCAAAAGCTACTTTTTTGCGAAGAAATACAGAAACACGATATTATTTTTACCCGTTAATATAATGATATTTTTTGTAAATATAATTTTATTATTAAATATAAAAAATTTTTCACATTTAGATCTTTTTCTTTAAAATATAGATTCCAAATGTTTTGATATCTTTACTATGTTTAATCTATAGATCTTGCAGAGTCAGAGTAAATCCTGACGATGTTCTCACAGCCGGTGTACCGGCCATCACGAGCTTTACGAATTACATCGGACAGTATCTTGTGCCGCAAACACTGGACCAGCTCATGGAACCGTCCGACGTTGTTGGAAACATTAGATTTAGCCATCCGACTTTATATGTCTTCCCCGGTGGGCAAGGTGACGCCGCACTTTTTGGTATAAACGGCTTTAACATGCTCGTCGACGGCGGCTTCGCCAGAAAAGCCTGCTTTTGGGATTTCACCAGGCATCTGGATCGATTGGATGCTGTTCTAGTCACTAGGATAAATAATAGCAACATCGGCGGCATGTTCAGTGTTCTTCGCAAGAAGAAGGAGATGCATGTCTATCCTCAGATCGGCCATTTCTTCTGTAACTTAGTTGTGAGTAATTATTCTTATTTTTTGCAGAAATATGTTTTTTTGTGTTAATATTTCTATTAATAATAATAATTAAAAAAATATTAGTTTCTAATAATATTGTTAACATTTACATTTGCTGCACTGTAGGACACAAGTAGGTACATGTAATAAAAATTATACGCAATACAGGAAAGAAGACAATCAAATTCACCTGACGGCGATAAGGACATCGATCCCCTCATTGTTAATCTCGTCGACATTGGTCAAGAGATGGTACTGAATCTTCGGCACATCAACCTCCGTGCTCATCCTTGCTACAGGGATCCTGATCCAATCAACCTCTATCACAAAGTTGGCCACGGCACGTTGGATATGTACGTTCTTAGTCCGAACAAAGACAGCCGCGAAGTGCGCGAGTTTCTAGCAAAGTGGCACGCATCAGACTCAAAGCTGTTTGCTGGATCTCACAAGAAAGATTCAAATAATCTCACATTCCCGATTCAAAACCTTGTATCGATATGCGCGCTTCTGGTGTGGCAGCCAGCCAACCCTGAGGACAATATCACGCGAATTCTTTTCCCCGGCAGCACCCCGCAGCATAAAATTTTCGAAGGCTTCGACCGACTGAAACATTTGGACTTCCTAAAACATCCGGTATGTTCTGCGAAGACACTGTCGCCATCAGTGTCTTTAGCAACGCTCAGAGATAAACCAGCCAAACAGAAACCCTTCATCGAAAAGGAGCCAAAGAGAATTTCAGAACCGAAGAAAGAGAAAAGAGAGCCGTCAGAATCAAAGGCTGTTCCTGTTAAGGCTGCAGAGGACGTTCCTAAAATCACTCCTCAGTCAACGCCGATTATTCCTCCAAGCAAACCCAAAGCCGAAATAAAGACAAAAAAAGTCGCGGAGAACAAGAAAATCGAGACTGAAGCAAAAGAAAGCAAAAAAATCGAGCTTGAAAAAGAGAGCAAAAAAGTAGAACCTGAAGCGAAGGAAAGCAAGAAGATTGAAAAAGAACTGAAAGAAGTGAAAAAAGAGCCGAAGAAGGAATCGATTAAAACGGAAAAACCGGAGAAGCGTGATGAAGATGTGAAAAAGATTGATTTAATCAAACAAGAATCTGATAAGAGCGCATCGAAAGAACCCAAGGAACCTAAACCCAAAATCGAGCCGAAAAAGAAAGAACCTAAAGATAGCAAATCTGTGAAGGCCGAAATAAAGAAGAGCGAAGCAATCACAAAGCCAAAACTCAGCGAGAAAAAAGTCAAACCTTCGGGCGCGGAGAAGAAGGATGTCATGAAGTCTTCCCCCACTACCCCAAAGAAGATAGTAAACGGCACTGTTGCGAAGACAGAGATATCGAAGACCGTGCCAAAGGCAAAACCGGCGACGAAGGTTGTTTCAAGTCTTCCGGCTAAGAGCGCGAAAGAGGCCAACAACAGAAAAGTAGTGGAACAGAAGAAGTCCGAAGTCGAGAAGTCCACTGTGAAGGAAACCGCGGCCGCACCCGTCGTCAAGGTGTCGGCAAAACCAAAACCGATGGACAGAAAACCGATTAGTCGTCGTACAAAACCAGTTAGTCCGAGTAAAGCACGTATGCCGGGCAGTCCGGCGAAATCCACTCGCAGCACACCGACCACTTCTGTGAAATCGGACAAAGACGGCGTCATTCGTAAAGTCAAGGGCGATAAAGGTACCACTGATTCATCCACAGTTTCTACTCCGTCTGGCATAGAAGCCGAGGTCATAAAGCCAATTGATAAAAGCTTAATTGAACAATCCGAAGATATTTCATTGGATTCAATAGAAAGTAAAGTATTGGCCGATCTCAAAGAAGAGCGAGAAGTGGTCGAGGAAATTGAAGCCGTTCTACAAAAGGCGGAGATTGAGGAAACTCGAAAGAGTGATCGTTTCGAGGGAGACGACGAGATTACAGCTGAAGCTACTGACAAAAAAGAAGAGGATATCACGGAAGAGGATGTTACAGCCGAAATTGAGGATATACCGAAAAAAGAAAGTTCAAGGAAGGAAAGTCAGGAATTAACCGAAGAAGACGAATATCTCATTGTAGAAAAGGAGGAAGTCTACACGGAGGACTCTGCTCAAAGCGGCGAGGGCGAACAAAAGCATGTACTTGACGAGGCCGAATCAGAAAAGGCGAAGATACTGAAAGATATGGAAGCGATGAAAGAGAAAGGCGAGAAAGAAGAACCCGAGAAGGAAAAGGATAAAAGTCCGGAAAAGAAAGTTGAACAGATCGTAGACAAAGACGAGAAAGAAAGTGCCGAACTTCCTCCGGAACACAAAAAACAATTACAAGAAGAAGTTAAAGAAATAATAGCTTCCGCGACCGAAATCGTACAGAAAGCTGAGGAGAAAGACGATTCCGGCAAAAAAGACAGTGAAGAAATCACGAAAGAACCATCTAGTCTAAGTCCGGATAAATTGGACTCATCGGAGAAAAAGACAACTGATACTGACATAAAACCGGACGTCGATCAGAAAGAACATATCCTTGAAAAGATGGAAGAATCTCAGGAACGAATCTCGACGATTGAATCGGGAGCAACTACTACCGCTCCAACTTTGCCTGAAGACGAACGAATACCTTTAGACGGCATAAAAGAGGACATTGATGAGAAACACGTTATAGAAGAAGTGAAAGAAAAGGACGCTCCTGTGAAAATGAAAGAAGAAGTCATTCCAGAAGCAATATCTACAGTTGTTAAACCGGAAGTAAAAGTATTCGACGTTCGTCAGGCGATGCAGAGTCTACAGAGAGACATTGTTAAAACTCCCGACGAGGTTGCCGATCTTCCAGTTCACGAGGAAGTCGATCCTAAGCTCTACAGAATGGAAGATTTTGAGAAGGGTAAAGAAGAAAAGCCGTCGCCGTCACCGCAGGAGATTAAAGAACCACCTACACCGCCAGTAAAAGAGCAGAAGGGTGTTTTTAGTTTCTTCGGCAAAGTAGCGGATAAATTTGAGAAAGGTATCGATAAATTAACGAAAAAAACAAAGAAAGAGACCGATAAGGATTCTGATGATAAGTCTTCTTCAAAGTCTAGTTCTCCGAAGGAAACAAAGGTTCTCGAAAAGACGGTCTTGGAGGAAGTTGATGTAGAGAAAATGTTTCCTAAAGTCGGCAAACATATTGACAAGCCGGAGGTATTCGAAGAGGTGAAACCCACTGTTGCTCATGTAAAAGTAGCTGCCATAAAGGAAACCGCGGCTTTCATACAAGAAGAGATAGACGCACACAGACAAAGTGTGCCAAACATTGAAGAAAAAGTTCCAATTGATAAATTAGAAGAGATCAAAAAAGCAGAGGTCAAAGTTGAAGAAGCGTTACTTGCAAAGGATATTTCGCCGGCTCCGGTATCACTGACGAAACCAATCGAAGATAAAGATATTGAAAAGGAGATTGAACTTCTAAAAGAAGAAGGAGAAGAAGCGGAAGAAGTAAAAGCTCTTCTGGAAGAAATTTCGAATAAGTTCAAAACTGTGAAAGACAGCCTGAGAGATTCCTTGGAGTCTTTAGAAGAGAAAATTAAAGAGGAAGAACTAACTACAGAGATGCAGCCATCTGTCTTGAAGGATGCGGTAAAAGATACTTTAGAGGGAGTAGCAGAGAAGTTAGAAGAAATAAAACCACATATCGAAACCCTCCCACCTGAAATGATAAAGGAACCGGAAAAAGTTAAGTTTGATATACCAAAGGATGAAGAATTCGAAGAGGAATACGAAGAAGAACCAGAAGAATCATACAGAGATGTGAAGGAAGCTGTCAGAGATATCGGAGATGTTCTCGCAGGAACTGCCGGTATCGACCTCGAAGCACCCAGAGAAAAACCTAAAGATGTTATGGAAATCGTGAAGAAAGTTGCTGAAGTTCTTAAGGACGACGATTTTCTTTCTGAAGAAACGTTAGTAGATCAAGCTTCTAAGGAAGAAGAGAAACCGTCAGTTTCGACAGACAGAAAACCTTCGAAAGAAGACATCTTATCGATTTCGTCAGAAAGAAAACTCTCGGTACCAAGTGAAAAGATATCTCCAGAGAAGATTACTGAAGTAGAAGAAGAGAAATCTAAACCAACTCACGAGGAGATTGTTATACCGAAGAAGGTCGGTATTACCGAGGAGATTCCAGTTCACGAAGAAATCGAAGAATTTATCGAAGAACCACACAAATCTTTGGCGCCGCAAGAAAAACCCGAAATAAAAGAAGAGCCTTGCGTGAAAGTAGTGACAAAAAAAGATGACTTATCGTCACCTAAAAAAGATGTTGCAAAAGACAAAATAGACGCTCAAAAGATTTGCGAGGAGATGTTACATGACGATCAGCATGTATGTGACCAACACAAGAAACCAGCTGACATTGATACGTCTCAAACAGATGTGCTCGAGGCTGGTATCGAAAGCATATGCGTGAAGAAAGTGGCGAAACGGCCATCTTTCGAAGAGCAATTGGTGGAAGCCGAGATAGAACAACCTGTGATAGGCTTCGAACAAAAGGTTTCGCCGGCAAAGGCAGAGATAGTAATGGTGACGCCAGGTTCTACGCCAACTTCGCCGAAGTTCACAGATAAGTTGCACGGACAAGAATTGGACGTTGGTTCTCAAGAGCTTCCCAAGTTACCAGAAGAAGTCAAACAAATCCTCACCAAGGAAGTGCCAGTCGAAAAAATAATCGAGGAATTGATCATTACAAAGAAAAAAAAGATTACTATCGAAGTGATCGAGTACATTACTATAGTGAAGCGCATTCCGAAAGAACGCGTGGTTTATATTATTGAGGAAATTATTGTAAAGAAAGGATTACGTAAAGAAAGTGTGGTAGACGATCCTGAAATTCTCAAACTGAAAGAATCTATAACACCTGAAAAGAGAATGGAAATTGAAGAGTACATTGTTAATGAATACATTGTGAAGGGAAAACGAATTACCATAGAGGTGGTCGAGGAAATTTCCATTAAGAAAGTTGTGCCCAAGACAATTGTCATTGAAATTATTGAAGAGATCATTGTGAAGAGAAAGATCGCCAGGCATATGGTACTAGATGTTCCCGAAGAAGTATTGTCGCAAATAATTAAAGAAGAATTACCAGAAGAAGAATTGCCAGAAGTATCAGAAGCGGAAGATCAAGTGACATCAAAAGTAGACATAACCGCAAAACGAGAATCGATAACTAAAGTTAGTTCTCCAACCGAAATATCAGAAATGCTCAAAAAGACGCCTGAGGACGAGAAGGAAAAAGAGATACCAAAAGTAGAAGATGAGAAGCGAAAATCAGTTGCTGAAGTTCCTAGCGCAGAGATTCTAAAAACACAAGAGTTGGTAACTCCGGAAAAAAGAAAAGAAGTTGAAGAATATATTGTAAACGAATACGTTACCAAAGGAAATAGTATTAACATTCAAAAACTCGAAGAAATTTGTGGCAAAAAAGAGGTGCCTAAAAGAATCATTATTGAAATTATCGAAGAAATTATTATTAAAAGAAAAATGCCAAGGCATGTAGTAATAAGTTTAACCGAAGAAGAATTGTCACGTGCAATTAAAGAAGAAGCTATTTCCGAGTCGGAAGTTACGGTAGAAAAGAGAAAATCGATCGCTGAAGTACCTAGTTCTATAGAAGAAAAAGAATCTCCACTTCAATTAAAAAAAGATAAAAAGGAGGCGATATCTGATCAAGAAATTGCCGAAGAATTGTCAGTTGAAGAAGAAGATATTGAGGAAGAAGTAGATGGTTTTGTCAGTATACCTAGACGGATTTCCGATGAGAAAGTCGACGCAAAGAAAAAGATCTCACCTGTCAAAGGAGACGTTTCACCCATAGCTGCAAAAGAACACGAAAAAGATGTACTAGACGATTTCGAAGCCGTCGAACAGGAATATAAAGTACGCGATGTACCAGTCACATCTCCTGAGAAAGCAGACGAGATAAGGGAGAAAGAAGATGTTGAAGAAGCTGTAGAAGATACTACGAGTGACGTGATTGAAGCGGACGAGAAGTTTGTGCAAGAAACAAAAGAAAAAATAGGCAAAGAAGAGCTTCAACCTGACACGGCAAAAGATTTTAAACCTGATAAGAAACGAGAACTCGAGGAACTAGAAACATCCGAAGTATCAGAAATTGTTGACACTACTGAAAAGTACTTAGACGAAGCTAAAGAAAAAACAGATGACAGTATTCTGAAACAAACCGTTACAAAACCATCAGTGTCACTAGTTTCTGATAAAGCAGAGGAACCTCTAAGTGAAAAAGCAGACGAATTGAAGGAAGCAGAAGAAAAGAAAATATCCGAAGATGTTATCGAAAAACGAGCGTCAATCGATGCAGCTGCTATACCTGAAGCAAAGTCGAAAACAATATCACCAGTTTCTGATAAATCAGAGAAACCTCTAAGTGAAGAAGCAGACGAATCGAAAGAAGCAGAAGAGAAGAAAATACCCGACGTTATTATCGACAAACGACCGTCTGTCGATGCAGCTGCTATACCTGAAGCAAAATCGAAAACAGTGTCACCCGTTTCTGATAAATCAGAGAAATCTCTAAGTGAAAAAGCAGACGAAGTGAAAGAAGCAGAAGAAAAGAAAATA